GAGGGAATCTGTGGCAGAATCTGTGGCAGAAAATACTTTTCCCAGTATTTCTGCTGAGTTCAGTTGTTCAACACCACCTTGGCACCCTAGATATGAGTGGGTGTCTCTACTCTTGGTAATAGCCAGGATGGAGGGGGCATTTTGAGAGCTGACATCCAAACATTTGAAGAATAACCAGATTGAGAAGGGGTCCCACCTATCATAGTATAACGTAAAACTCTTGGCTAAGAGTTGGCTTGCTCAGCTGCCATTCTGGCGATGAATTATATCTTGGCTTAGCGCCGTGTACGGATTCAGCAAAATTACTGCTTGTTCAACAAGCTAATAAAGCAAAATAAAATTTAGCATGAATGAATGAATCCACCCGGCGTTGCCCATTTTGGCTGTGTAGGCTTATTAAGGTAGAGGAGGGGTCTTCAAACTTGGCCCTTTTATGACTTGTGGACTTCAACTCCCAGAATTCCTCAGCCAGGCACGCATGCCTGGCTGAGGAATTCTGGGAGTTGAAGTCCACAAGTCATAAAAGGGCCAAGTTGGAAGACCCCTGAGGTAGAGCAAAACCATCCATTTCTGAAACAGGTGATTTAATTAACGAACACCTGAACTGGCCCACTTCCAAGCCTCCATCTTTCAAGCAATGTAGACTTGAAGCAATGCCTTCTCCCACTCTCTGGTGTATTTAAAAAAACAACAACACCCGTGATACGCGATTGAGGCCTTCACGAATGACCTTGCGAGGGTCAGCGAGGCTGTCCTCTGTTCAGAAAGCTGCCTGCTTTTGCAGTGTTGAGTGTTGGTGGGCTACAGTTAAGCCCCCCCCCCCCCAAAACACAAAACCACCTGGATAAAAACAATATGCCCATTTGAGAGAATGGATTTGCTCAACAATGGTTGTGGTTTGCTGAATGACTGCCGTAAATAGGGTTGGAAGATCAGGTGTGGTTGTTGTGGGTGCCTCCACTTATGACCACGACAATTAACTAGGGGAACAACCTGCCTCCAGAAACGGTGAATGCTTCAACACTGGAAGTTTTTAAGAAGAGACTGGACAGCCCTTTGTTCGAAATAGGGTTTCCTGCCTGAGCAGGGGGTTGGACTAGATGACCTCCAAGGTCCCTCACAACTTTTATTATTATTATTATTATTATTATTATTATTATTATTATTATTATTATTATTATTATTATTATTATTGCTGAAATTTTCACCATTAGTCATAAGGACTATCGGTAACGTACATTTAAAAGTCTGCATTCTTTGCACCCTCTGCGTGTCGTTAAAACCAACACAAATGTGGCGAACGAAGGATGATTCTTGGCTGACTTCTCTTGTTTTTAATATTTGGGTGGGTGGGCTGCTGTCTGGAACCGAGCCTGCCCCGAGCCAAGCGGGCCCCTTGCCTCCCCCCAAAAGGACCTACCGTTGAGCTTGGTGAAGTGATGGAGAAGAGGGTCAGTGGAGATCATGCAAGGCCACCACGGATAGCCGGACACCTTGGACCAGACCACGTCTCCCACGCCGTACTTCAGGGCCTGCGTCCGGTCCTCCTTCTCGGCTGCCAGAGGCGAGTCTTCTTGAGCAGAAAACTTCAGGAAGGGGAGGGGGGGGAAGAGAAGAGACCCAGATTCTAGCAATGAGAAGACTTTCACAGTTGACCCAAGAGTGAAGCACCTTCACCTATTCAGATCAGCACTATGGGCTTCAGTCTCCAGCCTGAAGGTGTGCAGCCTTTGAGTAGTCTGGGCTGATAGGAAAACAGGTGAGAGAGGTGGGGATGACTTCGCTTCTAACGCTACGCAAAGCCCTCTGATCTTCAAGGATCAGGTAAAGCCTGAGCTTTAGGAATGAAGAGGTAGCCTATTGGCAGGGGTCCTCAACTTACAACTATTCATTTGGTGACTGTTTGAAGCTACAACGGCACTCAAAAAAAAAAAAAAAAGGGACTTACGACCGTTTTCACATGACCACTGCCACATCCCCACGGTCATCTGATCGAAATTCAGATGCTTGGCAACTGGCATGTCCTTACGACGGTTGCAGTGTCCCGGGAATCGTATGATCGTCATTTATAACCTTTTGACAAGCAAAGTCAACCGGGAAGCCAGGTTGACTTAACAGCCCTGTTACTAACTTAACAACTGCAGTGATTCACTTAACAACTGTGGTAAGGTCGTAAAATGGGGCAAAACTCACTTAACAACGAAATTTCAGGCCCAATTACGGTCATTAAGTCGAGGACTACCTATATATCTTAAGAAGAGAGCTTCTTTACTTGGCTTCTGTAGGAATTAAGGATTTGGGGTCATATACTTTTCTTCAGATAGGAACTTCCAAGGGTTATGGCTTTAAATTAGCCAATTCCCAAGATAAATGGAATCCTTGACGTTGCAGCTCTACCTACGTTTCTCCAGATCTTACAGAGACACATCTAGAGTCCTCTTGGAGATGACTGTTCTTAAGAGGGCTCAAGAAATTAAAAGACGCTTGCTCCTGGGGAGGAAAGCTGTGGCAAATCCAGACAGCATACTAAAAAGCAGAGACATCCCCCTGCCAACAAAAGTGCGTAGAGTCAAGGCCATGGTTTTCCCTGTTGCAATGTACGGCTGCGAAAGTTGGACCATAAGAAAGGCTGAGCGCCAAAGAATGGAGGCCTTTGAACTCTGGTGCTGGAGAAGACTCCTGCGAGTCCCCTGGACTGCAAGGCGATCCAACCGGTCAGTCCTAGAGGAGATCAACCCCGACTGCTCTTTAGAAGGCCAGATCCTGAAGTGGAAACTCAAGTCCTTTGGCCACCTAATGAGAAGGAAGGACTCCCTGGAGAAGAGCCTGATGCTGGGAAAGATGGAGGGCAAGAGAAGAAGGGGACAACAGAGAATGAGGTGGATGGATGGAGTCCCTGAAGCAGGAGGCGTGAGCTTCAATGGACTCCAGAAGATAGTAGAGGACAGGACGGCCTAGAGGAACGTTGTCCATGGGGGTGCGATGGGTCGGACACGACTTCGCAGCTAACAACAACAACAAAGAGGGCTCAGCAGCTGCAATCATTCTCAGATTAGTGCCAATCTGAGAATGGCATCAATAACTCAGATGTATTGGGGGGAAGCTAGGAGTAGCCCACAACGGGGTTAAGGACTGGGCTCCATTGCCCTGATGAAAGTGGACCATGTCTTGTTGGCAAGAAATGGACAAACCATAACAGTCCCGAATAAGCAGGAAGCTTCTCAAGATGTTTCTCCAGCTTAAGGCTTCTCCCAAACGGAGGTGTGCAGTGCACATTTTTGGAAATCTGCCAAGCTTAAAAATCAAAGCTGCTTAGTTGTTTCCATCAAAGAAACTGAACTGTCAACACCACAGCAACACTCTCTGAGAAGCACGGGCACGTTGCCACATTTAACGTGGGAAACTCCAAGATACGCTTATTATTAAATCTAACTTTCCTCTGACAAAGATTTTACAAGCAGCAGTGAATTTACATGCAACCTGTTCACTTTGCATTGTGTTCAAAACCGTGAGAATTTGAAAAAAATTCAGAGAAAAGCAACTAAGATGATCAAAGGCCTGGAGACTAAAACCTACGAAGAACGGCTGTGGGACTTGGGTTTGGCCAGTCTAAAGAAAAGAAGAAATAGGGGAGACATGATAGCAGTGTTCCAGTATCTGAGGGGTTACCACAAAGAAGAGGGGGTCACATTATTCACCAAAGCACCAGAGGGAAGGACAAGAAACAATGGCTGGAAACTCATCAAAGAGAGAAGCAACCTGGAACTAAGGAGAAACTTCCTAACAGTGAGGACAATCAACCAGTGGAACAGCTGGCCTCCAGAAATCTCACCGGAGATTTTAAAAAAGAGACTGGACAGTCACTTCTCTGAGATGGTATAGGTTCTCCTGCTTGAGCAGGGGGCTGGACTAGAAGACCTCCAAGGTCCCTTCCAGCTCTATTCTATTCTATTCTATTCTATTCTATTCTATTCTATTCTATTCTATTCTATTCTATTCTGTTCCTATTCTATTTTCAGCCTCTGAATACAAATCCATTCCAAGTACAAATCCATCCAAACAAGCCCAAATCAAAGATCTAATTTCCTACAGCATCTCTTCCACATCTTGACTGTTCCAAGTGTTCTCTCTCATGCAACTTCTTCTCAAACTTGGACAGCATTCAACGGTGCCGATTGCTTCCTTGGAATCGGAGAGCAAGAAGGAATGGCTCTAATGAGCTTCATGAACCTATTAGTGACATTCCAATCTCTAGCAAGCAGAACCGTTTCAGAAGATGTTTGAACACCGCCTGGGATGAGATGCATCCATCTGAAAGTCTGTGGGTTAACATTTCAGGGGTCCAACAGCCTTACACCTTCTGGAGATGGGCCCACAGAAACAACCCAAATCATCATAACATTGTTCTTAAGGTCCAGTTTTACTACATGGTCCATATGGAATATGGTCCTGGAAACAGCCAAAATATATCTAGAACTGACAGGCTGACACTTCCTCCATCTAATCTCTTTGAGTGCGTCATTTAACCAAAGAGAGAAGCAACCTGGAATTAAGGAGAAACCTCCTGACAGTGAGAACAATTAGCCAGTGGAACAACCTGCCTCCAGAAGCGGTGAATGCTCCAACGCTGGAAATCTTTAAGAAGAGACTGGACAGCCATTCGTCTGAAATGGTATAGGGCAGGGGTAGGCAACCTTGGCTCTTTTATGACTCGTGGACTTCAACTCCCAGAATTCCTGAGCCAGCATGAGGGAAACTTTGGCCCCTTCATGACTCGTGGACTTCAACTCCCAGAATTCCTGAGCCAGCATGGGGGAACTATGGCCCCTTCATGACTTGCGGACTTCAACTCCCAGAATTCCTGAGCCAGCATGGGGGAACTGTGGCCCCCTCATGACTCGTGGACTTCAAGTCCCAGAATTCCTCAGCCAGCATGAGGGAACTATGGCCCCTTTATGATTTGTGGACTTCAACTCCCAGAATTCCTGAGCCAGCATGGCTCAGCTTGGAAACCTCTCCCTTTTCCCTCAGCATGGCTGGCTCAGGAATTCTGGGAGTTGAAGTCCACGAGTCATAAAAGAGCCAAGGTTGCCTACCCCTGGTATAGGGTTTCCTGCCTGAGCAGGGGGCTGAACTAGATGACCTCCAAGGTCCCATCCAACTTTATTATTATTATTATTAAGTAACCAAAAACGGTTCCTATCCCAATATAAATCTACCCAGATACGATATGTCTAAAATTACAAGGCAACTCTCTTCTCCTTAGCCAGAAATGACATTTGGGCTGGCCCTGTTGGGCTTAGCATGCATTTGAGAGGGGCTCAACAGAGAATTTCTGGGGAAAGGCCCAAAGGGAGTCCTCGGAGCTCCGTTTTACACAAGACCAAAGCCCTACTTTGTCTACGGAGATTCTCAGTCATCCGGGTCATGGCTGTCCCAAACGGGACTTTCTTGGTTCGGTCTAGACCGAAAAAGCACCTTTGGGACAAAGCCCTCCTTTGATAAAAACGTAAGAGCAGGTTCTCAATCTCAAGAGGGCAGCTGAGGAATGTTCTGCTTTGTCCTACATTTGGGGTACTCTGAACTTAAAAATAGGCCAAACGCCTCCGCCTGAATGGAGGGGAACCCTGGGAATTCTAACTGGGTCCTGTCTTGAACAAGGACGGAGCAGACGAAGGAGAACGGCATTCTCCAGGGACAAGCCGAATTATTCGGTGGATTTCAGTTTTTAACACAGCCAATGATTGTAAGGTGGGGGGGGGGAGCGAAATTCACCCCTTCATAGTACAAAAGCATTGTACTAGGTTTATGACCATACTCTACATCAGTGTTTCTCAACCTTGACAATTTTAAGGCATGTGGACTTCAACTCCCAGAATTCCACAGCCAGCAACGCTGGCTGTGGAATTCTGGGAGTTGAAGTCCACATGCCTTAAAATTGTCAAGGTTGAGAAACACTGCTCTACATGCATTCCTCATATATTTAATATTACGTATCCCCACGTATTTAATATTGTATGCCACAGGAAGCCATGCATTCAATCAGGACTATTTACTGATTCCTTGTCTAGTTCAGCACTCTCTAAACTAGGCCTACTCATCAACCAAAGCTTTCATTATCTCTGACCACCAGGCGGGGTGGTGGCGGCGGGATCTGGTATCTGCTGTGGTTCAAACTGGGACGGAAGGAAGCCTCGCCAGGACACCCAGATGTGCCCCCCCCCAGCATTTCCTTCCCGTCCATATTTATTCTGCCTCATGGCGTCCTTTCATGCTCTCTAATACTGATATGTTTATATTGAAATCCCGTTTTTTATAAGCATGAATACATTTCAAAACTTAGGAATGAGTTAAGGGTGCCATCTCCAAATTGCTGCGAAAGTAGGGAGTCAGAAGTATGAACTTTGTAGATTAGAAAATTAATGTATGGTGAGCTGGAAGGTAAGGAATTAAGTTTGAAATCTGGACGTGACAATGATTTGAGTCTAACACAGTGGTTCTCAACCTATGGGTCGCAACCCCATTTGGGGTCGATCGACCATTTCACGGGGGTCGCCAAGCAAGGCTGTCCGCCATTTTTCCCCCCTTTTCCGGCGGGTGCCTTACCTCCCTTGAGCTGGGCCAGCTGGTGGTCGGCCTGCTCCGTCTCTGCCGCCTGCCAGCTACACCTCGGCCGGCGCAGGGGGCGGAACCACGCATGTGTGGCGCTCCCGGGCAGGGAAAGTCCTTGACTTACGACCGGTTGGGTAGTCCTCGACTTACGACCGGTTTAGTCCTCGACTTATGACTGGTTTAGTCCTCGACTTACAACCGGTTGGGGTCGTGGCATTAAAAAGGTTGAGAACCACTGGTCTAACACCAGAACTAAAACAATTCCTGCACTTTTTTTCTCCTTGACTCTTACCGGACACTTTATTTTAAAACTCAAAATGGTTCTACTTTTTTCAGTGATGCTCTCCAGGCAGTTGCAATGGATAATCTCAAGAGTGAAATAAAGATTGCAAGCGATTGGAGAAATATTACCGGACTTTCCTTCAGGATCACCAATGTACAGACAGAAAAATGACCAGCAGAGCAGCAGGGCAAGCATCATATTGCTGAAAATAGCCAGAAGTACATCAAAACATCTGGATCCAAACCTTTTCAACATCCAATAGTACACTATTAACATGACTGGTTCTGGTTTAGCATTATTATTCTCTGATTTGAGAGCTATTTTTTCTCCTTTTCACAATGTTTGAAGCAAATTTTGCTCAACGTATTTAAAAAAAAAAAAAAAGCAACACTGTGGAAAATACAACCTTTTCCATAATTTCCAAGCAGCATAATCTGAAGTCACAATCACTTCTAAATCTTCTGGATGGTTTTTTATCTAGTCTGGACCCCATCCCTCCTGTTCCAGAAGAGCAGAACCAGGAGAAGAACATCCTACAATCCACACCCACACAAGGAGTATCAGATGAGAGAAAAAAGAGGGGGGACCTAAATGATTCTGGAAATGGATGCACATCCTCTAGAGCAGGGTCCTCAACCCTGGCAGCTTTAAGACTTGTGGATTTCAACTCCCAGAATTCCTGGCTGAGGAATTCTGGGAGTTGAAGCCCACAAGTCTTAAAGTTGCCAAGGTTGAGGACCCCTGCTCTAGACCAGAGGTGGGCAACTAGGGCCCCGGTTAATAAAGCTAGCCAATGGGCGTATAGAGCAGGGGTAGGCAACTATGGCCCCTTAATGACCTGTGGACTTCAACTCCCAGAATTCCTCAGCCAGCCAGGAAAGGCTGGCTGAGGAATTCTGGGAGTTGAAGTCCACAGGTGGTAAAGGGGCCATAGCTGTCCTTGATTTATTTTAGGTTAAGAGCATCAGCCTGGTAGCTGGAAAAATACCCCCAATCAAGGCAACAATAAGCCACTTCTATATTGCTGCTAGAAAATTATACGGTCATACAGGTAGTCCTCGACTTATCACCCCAACTGAGCCCAAACTTTCTGTGGCTAAGTGAGACATCTGTTGAGTTTTGCCCTGTTTTATGACTTTTTTGGGCCACAGTTGTTAAATGAAGCACTGCAGTGACAAGTTAGTAATCTGTGGATCTGGCTTCCCCACTGACTTTGCTTGTCAGACGGTCGCAAAAGGGGGGGGGGATCATGTGAACCCGGGACACCGCGACCGTCATAAATGTGAACCAGTTGCCAAGCATCCGAATTTTGATCACGTGGCCCTGTGGAGGCTGCAAAGGTCGTAACTATGAAAAGCGGTCACAAGTCACATTTTTCAGTGCCGTTGTAGCTTTGAATGGTCACTAAACGAACTGTCGTTAAACCAAGGACTCCCTGTATTCTGTACCTACCAAAGCTGACCAAGGGTGCATTTACATTTTCAGAAACCAGGGACATACTAATCCTCGGAGCAGAAATCTGAAAACTCGACAGCCGACAGACTACAAATTCTGACCGCCCGACGGTCGCAAGGAACCAAGGGGAACACGCGGTACCTTGTCGCAGGAGGAACCGGACGACCCGGACAGCAACGCTGCTTCTACGAAGCCCCGCTCGAGTAGGGAGTCATACTTGATGCTCCTCTTCCTGCTCCTCTTCTCCTTGTTGGCCGGGTTGGGCTCCATCTGCTCCGCCTGAGCGGCCTCCAGCACGCCGTCGCCACAGATGGAGGATTCGAAGAGAGGCTTCCCGTTCATGTACGTTTTAGTGATTTTCAGTTTAATTTCCGGCGAGCCGTTCTTGGCTGGGGTAGTGTTGGGGGGCGTCCCAGCCTCCTTGCCTTCCTGAGACTCAAAGCGCAGTTTGGTCTCCTGCGCTCCCGACTCCCCGTTGAAGACGCGGGAGGTGAGGTCTTGGAGCTTCTCCACGGGGATGTAGGGGAGGCCGTCGCGGCCGTTGTATTTCGGCACGACATCGTCCTGTAGTGTGGCGGAAAGGTGGGCCTTGCCCAAGTAAACAGAGCACTCTCGGCTCACTTCACAGCTGGGGGGCCTTCCGGTGGGATTCCCCAGGATCTCAGGGACCGGCTTCATCTTGATGTGGTTGGCTCCTTTCTTGGGGAGCAGCAGTGGCTTACTTTTGAAATCCATCACAGATGTTTCCAGTTTGTTTATATTTCTGCATAAAGAAAGGAACAAAGCAACACAATTGTATTGTTAGTGGAGATTGCGTACTGAGCATAATATGACCAAAATAAGCTACCAAAGTAATATAACCCAAATATCTGAGACGGATTGGGCAGCGTAACTTCTAAGATAAAGTATTCATGTTCCCTACTTTTAAAAATCATATCGAATTGTTCCAGCTAATTCTCAGAGCGAGACAATACGCATTTTGAAAAAGGGCAAGTACAAACATTTTGCTCTTTTACAGTATTGCAGCATAAGACCGCCAATAAAAGAACAAGCAGAGACAACGGAGAGTATTATTTTGAGTTGTTTACTTGGAATTGTATTTTATTCCTATTCTGTTTGGGGAGAAGGGGAGAGAGAGAGAGAAGGATTCCTACTCCTGTTAACCAGGCATTGTTTTGGCTGGTCAACTTTGTGGGATGCATTAAAGTCCCTAAGAAACACAGGAAAGAATCGAAGGTCTAGAAAAATACGGGAGCGAAGGACGATGGCTAACAACAAGGCTCCATCCAAATCCAACCAAGGCAACAAACAAGCTGCAAATAAACAAGAGGTTGATCTGGAGAGGAAATTAAAGGATGTGGGATAGAAATGACTCATTCCTGTTCGTAGCACAAAAACTGCAGAGTGCCAGTTGCAAACTTGCCTCGAACTTAAAACCGCTAGGATTTAGAAATCAGGCAACCCAGTCAAACCGACGGCCTCGTCGCCTTTGGCCCGTTATTCCCGGGGAAACCTCTGAGAAATTTTCATCCCAAGGAAGCTGAGATGGACAGGTGGTCCTTTGGGGTAAAATGCCAAAGACAAACAGAAGGATGCAAATGCAGAATGATGGTTTAGTGATGGTTTGCACTTGGAACGCTGTGCAGATAATCCTTGAGTGTATGACTGGCTAGTCACATGACGGAATCAATTTATAACCATCCTGATATACGAGCATAACGGGCAGGTCTCCATTATGTCGTATGTTGAGGACTCTCTGCAATTGATAAATGCAACAAATGTTAAGTTCAGGACTGAAAACCATGGAAGATGAACTTAATTTTTTTAATTTGAGAAAAGGCTCCTGCTGAATCCTTCCATCTGTCTGCTTATCTCCACCAGGTGAACTCCACACATCAAAGGCGGAAGGCCTGAGAATGTTTATAACAAGAGGGCAATCGGTGTGTGTGTGTGTAGACTAAGGGGAGTTGGCCAATGGTTCTCCCTCCCTGCTCACCATGGCCTGCTGGGTGGACCCCGAGGGGCGTCAGGGGGTTGAAACAGGGGAGGGCACCAGGTAACCAGGTCTAGAGAGAGCAACGGGACAGACGCAGACAGCGGGAGATTTGGGTATGAAATGTTCAAATCCGTAGCGATACTATCCATCAAGCCTGTATGGCAGCTAGCCAGACGGGAGACTTGCAAACATCCCAACAATGTTCAGACATGCCCAGGGCCACAAGCTTAAATAACACAAATAAGCACACATTTCTGAACGTGCAAATCTCCCCAAAAGGTCCTCCCAGATGAATTCCCAACCATCATCATCAGAAACATGGCCAAAGCAGCCGAAGGACACTGCAGCTCCCTTTAATTGGACAGATATGTACAAAGTCAAATTAAAAAGAATAATCCTAGTATGCAACTGCGATATATCTTGCTGTGTGATATCTACAGTATGTATATGCCTCATTCTGTATCTAGACTTACTAACAGGACATGATATAAAATGATATAATATTGTTTTGCTGAGCTGCAACTGCTACATGCAGAAAAAGAAACAAAGCAACTGTATCAAACTCTTTGACAAACAAATCTTGACACATGAGCTTGCATTCTGCAGGGTATTTATAGCAATTAAATAATTGATCTAACTAACCGAGTGCAAGTTAGGAAACAATTTAAACATTCATCTTCCAGCTACAAAATCAAGCAAGTTCACCTTTCCCACTTAAAAATAAAGCTTTACACTCGAATGGTGGATCACTTCCAATGGAAAGGTTTTGTTTTTACTAAAGCTTCCAATGTTGGTTTTTTAAAAAAAAGAATGCTGATGTTCACATGGGGATAAAAACGAACCAATCACTGCTTTCAGGATCAAAGTTCTGAAATTCCATTCAGCAACTCACTACATAATCCATAAATCAGAAGAGGACCACTCGTAGGCCCAGAGCCCACAGCTTACGGGGACTCGGCAGCTCTTTTGGAATACTAAATATTCCAAACATTTGAAATATGTATGTAATATATACGGATAGCAAATCCGATAGTCGCAATTGCTGAAAACCACTGGTGCAGTTATCTACTATTGAAACAAGCAATTTGCAGAAAATATCCTAAGCCCTAGAACAGGGGTCTTCAAACTTGGCCCTTTTATGACTTGTGGACTTCAACTCCCAGAATTCCTCAGCCAGGCACGCTGTGCCTGGCTGAGGAATTCTGGGAGTTGAAGTCCACAAGTCATAAAAGGGCCAAGTTTGAAGACCCCTGTCCTAGAAACACACAAAAATACCCAGTTAGGGGGCGGGAAAAACCCCTACAAAATCCCAGCCTCTCCAACAGAAAGCAACTGCTGATCCAATCGCCAAGCATCAATCAATGAACCCGTTAGAAGGACTCTAAGGACCTCACCCTATAATCAGCTACTGGATAGGTGGATATCCGACTTCTGAGCTACGTCCATGTTGACTGGAGAATTAAGTCATGAAACGCTAATCTAAACCCTTTTAAAGAACAATCCAACATGTAATTATGGTGGGCTTACTGTGATTTTAATTAGAGGTTCTCAGTTACCTGGATCTAATTACAAAAGGGTTGTTGTTGATGATGACAACTTATCCATAGACGACTAAAACCTCCCTTCCCCTAAGCTTTAATAGGCAGAGCAGTGCATTATGGGGTAAAATGTTTTGAACCCAGGTGCCACATTTCAGAATGTGTCCAATATCTGGGACCCACGATGAGGCCTGTGAAATCGAAACTTTATAAAACGTGTTATAACAGAAAAACTATCATAAAACAGTTCATGACATATCATGAAAACATTTCCTGTGCTGATGTTTGACGGTGCTACACAGGTCAAGCCAGATGCCCTCTCCGAATCTATCCCAACTTTTCCAGTGAAGGCAGGACATTAGAAGCTCCAACGTTGTTGAAGGTGTGTGTTGGGGGAATCAGGTGAGGAAATATCTCAGAAAGGATGAGGCAAGGGGTCACAGGTTGTTTAGTAAAAACTAAATTCATGGGGTTTTTTGCCAACGTCCACACAATCAAGAGTAGCCACTGAATCCAACTCATGTTGAGTGCAGAATCCAAACTCAAGGGTCCCACATAGATGGCTACCCAAGGTCTGCATCTATCCAAAGAAATGAAGCCCAACATCTCTCTTGCAGTTTGTTCCATAAGACAAGTGTTTCATAATATTCTATTAAAATCTGCCTTCCCATAACTTCAAAGCATGCTTGGATGTCCTGCACTCTGAAACAATAAGAGTCTTGACCAACTTCTTGCAATATCTTTTCAGGTATATGAAGACTGCCGTAATATCCCCGTTGAACTGGTCCAACCCCTTTAATATCTCTTCTTATGATTTAATTTCTCATCCTCTGAGCTTTTTTTTTGCTGAATCCTTCAATGCAGTGCTTAGGGTTAGACAAAATACTCAAAAGAAAATATGCTTATTCCCCATTATTTCTTCTCATGAAGCCTAACATGCCAAAAGTCAACTGGGAGTGGTAAAATGCAGGGCAGCCAAGGGATGGGGTGAGATAGATGGATGGGAGGTCCTAATCACAACTGGGATTACCAGAAGGGCCATCCCCAAGCAGTGGGGGTCATGTGATGTTTTCACCTAACGAGCACTTTGCTTAGTGACAAATATTCTAGTCCCAATTAGGGGCGTTAAGTGAAAACTACTTGTACGATGATGCTACACCTGTGCGTTTGATGCTCGTTTCCTTACTGCAATTAATTTCTCCCCAACTTTATTCTGAGATTATCATAGTTTTGTTAAAATTGTATTTGTCTTCTGCATGGTTGGCTATGCTATCCAAATTTCTTCCTTCTGCTTCTTTGGACCAGTCAATAACAAAAAAAAAAATAATACTGAAGAATTCAGGATTCAAGACGTGTCCACACATTTATTTATCAAAGATGCTCAACTTAACTTTACGGCCTGCCACTCAATACTTTTTCTCCAATTTTAACTAGGAGCCGCTGATAAAAGCTTTCATTTTTTCCCCTTTTGTCTCACCATTCTGCCCCCATTTAAATAGCCTGTTAATCAGTGTGTCCTGTAATGGGGTGCTTTGTCAAGATATCTGTAGCATTCTCACAATCTACTAAGGAAATGACTCAGTCAAGAGACGAGATATGGTTAGACTGGACAGATTTGTTCTTGACACAGGTCACACCCGGTGCTTGGCAAGCACTGAATTAACTCTGTGTCTTTAGGACCCCACTCTAGAATTTTCTCACCTATTGGGCTTTGCAGACAGGATTCGAATTGGGTTCTTCCTCCCTTTGTGAAGACATCTGCAGTTCCTCAGCTGTCCAGCCCCTCACCAGGTCTTAAATGTTCACTCAGCTTGACCCAAAAGCCGCCCTTCCAGGCTCGCTCCACAAAGAAGACGTACATTATGTGGTCTGAGCGCAGTGTGACGCCATCTAGTATATTGGGTATATACAGTATTTTCTGGATCTGCGTTATACTTTTGCAGTTCATTATACTGCTGATTATGTCCTCTTGAACTCTGTCCGTATCATGATGGCAGCAGTATAGACATTCCATAAAACGAATATCTAAGATCATGAGTTCAAATTTGAACTCATTCTAAACAGGTATGGTCTTCCCATTAAGGACTACCTGTAATGAATTTTATTCAACAAAAATAGCTTTCTATCTAAAAAAAAGAGGATGG